GGATTACAGGCACGCGCCACCATGCCCAGCTAATTTTTTGTAGTTTTTTAGTAGAGACAGGGTTTCACCATGTTGACCAGGATGGTCTCGATCTCTTGACCTCGTGATCTACCCGCCTCGGCCTCCCAAAGTGCTGGGATTACAGGCTTGAGCCACCGCGCCCGGCCCGGATTCTGCTGTCTTAAGGGATATTCTTCTGTGTCGGATGTTAAACTACCACAGAGAGCCCTAGAGTAGGAGTCAGGAGGCCTGTATTCAGCTCCAGGCTGGGTGGCTAATTCCTAGTGAATCTCTGGGCTTCACTGTTGCCATCTGTTGAATTCAAATTTATTCAGTGCTTTATTCTTACCTCACTCATGTGGGCGTCGAGCACCTACTAGATGTTGGGTGCTAAGGTAAATAAGCCTCCTGGACTTTTGATTGTGGACCAGTTAAATTTCTATTAAAACGTGGGTCGTTGGGACCCACGATTGTCAACTTTTTGTTTTGCCCAAATAAGTACGTTAGCCTACCATGTGCTAAAAGGAGGATGGCCTTGACTTCAGAATAAAGAAGAGTTCCAAAGACAGGTACATGGCAACCTTAGATCGATGTATCTGTTATATTGCTCTTATTTTGCTCATTCAGTCATAATCCAGAGAAAACTTTGCATAGACTGACTTTGGTTTGTGACCTACTATTTGAAAACCACTGAAATGGGCCGGGCACAGTGGCTCACACCTATAATCCCAGCACTTTGGGAAGTCAAGTTGGGCGGATCACTTGGCCAGGAGTTCAAGACCAGCCTGGCCAACATGACGAAACCCTGTCTCTAATAAAAATAGAAAAATTCGTTAGGCTTCGTGGCGCATGCCTGTAATCCTAGCTACTCGGGAGACTGAGGCAGAAGAATTGCTTGAACCTGGGAGGTGGAGGCTGCAGTGAGCCGAGATCATGCCACTGCACTCCAGGCTGGGAGAAAGAGCAAGACTCCATCTCAAAAAAGAAAACCACTGAAATGGACTGGGTGCAGTGTCTCATGCCTTTAATCCCAATACTTTGGGAGGCAGAGATGGGAAGATTGCTTGAGGCTGGGAGTTCAAGATCAGTGTGGGCAACATAGCAAGACCCTCTCTACGAAAAATTTAAGAATTAGGCGCACATAGTAGTTGCACCTATAGTCCCAGCTAGTCAAGAAACTGAGGCTGGATGATTGCTCGAACCTAGGAGTTCAAGGCTGTAATGAGCTATGATTGTACCACTGCATTCTAACCTGGGTGACAGAGTGAGACCCTGTCTCAAAAAAAGAAAAAAACCCCACTGAAATGATGTAGTCTGAAGACAGGGAAAGACTACATCATTTCTTCCTTAAGTAAGAAGGTTACTCTGCTGTATCAATTTTTGTTGAATACTAAACCATATCAAAAATGTAGTGGCTTAAAACACAAATGCTGGCTCGGCTTAGTGGCTCACGCCTGTAATCCCAGCACTCTGGGAGGCTCAGGTGGGCGGATCACATGAGCCCAGGTGCTCGAGACCAGCCTGGGCAACATGGCAAGACCCTGTACCTACAAAAAATACAAAAATTAGCTGGGCATGGTGGCATGTGCCTGTAGTCCCAGCCGCTAGGAAGGCTGAGGCAAGAGCATCACTTGAGCCCGGGAGGTAGAGGTTGCATTAAGCCAAAATCATGCCACTGCACTCCAACCTGGGTGACAGAGCCAGATCCTGTCTCAAACACAACAGCAGCAACAAATGCTGATTGTTTCTCATGATTTTGTGGGTTGGTTGAGTGGTTCTGGGCTTGTCTGGATAAGCTAGGGTGGCCTCACATTTCTGGGGCCTTGGCTGGGATGGTCACCATGCTGGAGGCTCACACCCTCCCTACAGGAGATAAGCCAGGACAATGGTGAGGGGTTCTCAGCAGCAAACAAGGAAAGGCAAGCCCTTCTCAAGTCTCTGTTTGCCATGTATATGTTAATCTCCCTTTGGCCAAAGCAAGTCACATGACCAAGCACAGTTTCAAGGGTGGACAAGTAGGTTTCATCTCTTGATGGGATCTTGGTACAATTCCACCTGCAAAATCACATGTACACGGACAAGGATGGGAGGGAATTTTTACAGCAATCACAAGATTGTTGTAAAAATGGAATGCAGGAAATAGATGTAAAAGTGTTAGGAGAATTAGAAGTGATCTCCACTTCGAAGGAGCAGTTTATGCTTCTCAGCCTACTGTAGGGAAAATGTTATTATTTATTTATTTTTAGATGGAGTTTTGCTCTTATTGCCCAGGCCGGAGTGCAGTGCTGCAATCTTGGCTCACTGTAACCTCCACCTCCCAGGTTCAAGTGATTCTTCTGCCTCAGCCTCCCAAGTAACTGGGACTAAAGGCATGCACCACCATACCCGGCTAATTTTGTATTTTTAATAAAGACGGGATTTCACCATGTTGGTTAGGCTGGTCTCGAACTCCTGGCCTCAAATGATCCACCTGCCTGGGCCTCCCAAAGTGTTGGGATTACTAGCGTGAGCCACCGTGCCCGGCTGGGAAAACATGTTATTGAAGGAAAGCAGTCTTGTGCTGTGAGGTCTGAGTTTGCTTGTGTCTCCATCCTCATGAAACCTGTTCTCATGAGCAGAGTCCGTGGGAGTTAAGCCTGAGGGTTTAACAGACTATTTTTTGCAGCACATTTTACCAGCTCCCCAAGTAAAATTTTGACCCTCTTCATGTTTTCAAGTTTGAAAAGATCCAAAAGCTGACTGGGGCTCCTCACACGCCTGTTCCCGCACCGGACTTCCTGTTTGAAGTTGAGTACTTTGACCCAGCCAACGCCAAATTTTATGAGACCAAAGGAGAACGAGACCTAATCTATGCCTTTCATGGTAGCCGCCTAGAAAACTTCCATTCCATTATCCACAATGGCCTGCACTGCCATCTGAACAAGGTGGGGCCTATGGGACACCCTGCTGCCATGAGGAAGCAGGGATGGAGGTGGGCGAGTGGGGAGGGGGAGATTCAGAACCCTAGGAGTTTGCAGTTGGGGTGTAGAGTGGGGGTGGGTAGGCTTACTAATGCTTTGTCTCTCAAAATGTGGTCTGGAAGCCAGCAGTAACAGCATCACCTGGAAGCCCATGAAAATGCAAAATCGGGCCGGGCGCGGTGGCTCAAGCCTGTAATCCCAGCACTTTGGGAGGCCGGGGTTGGGTGGAACACGAGGTCAGATCGACCATCCTGGCTAACACGGTGAAACCCCATCTCTACTAAAAATACAACAAGTTAGCCAGGTATGGTGGCAGGCACCTGTAGTCCCAGCTACTCGGGAGGCTGAGGCAGAATTGCTTGAACCTGGGAGGTGGAGGTTGCAGTGAGCTGAGGTCACAGCACTGCACCCCAGCCTGCGTAACAGAGCAATACTCCATCTCAAAAAATAGATGTATATGTATATCCTTTAGTAAATCGTATCAGTCCTCTTAGGTCTCCTCTGCCTGCGTTTTCAACGAAGGGCTTGCTTGAGGGAGTCCATCTGCCAGTTGATACTGATACTGTTTTCATGGCAGGGATACACCGAGCTTCCCGCTCTTGTGCACCACTGCTCCTGTCAGCCTTGCGTGGGGTTCTCAAGTCTAAGGAAGGGTTAACACATGATGGCATGAGCAGAGAATGGATGTGGGGTCAGATCAGAGGGCGTCCAGGGTCATTGGAGAAGGTATGTGTCAGCTTTTGAAAGATGGAGACCCTGCCTAACTTGGCAAAGAGCTTCCCAAAGGCCAAGCAAAGGTTTGTTTCATTTATCCTAAGCTTCACTTAACAGATTTAGGATTTTGGAAGCCTGGTGCCACTGAAGAAGGATATTTCTCAATTCCAGAGCATAAGATATTCTTCAGTGACCTCTTCAAGTCCACTTATCATCTTGAGATACTGATAGTGTGACCCAGGGATAGCAATTGAGTTTCGATTTGAGTGTCAGTGTCCATCCATTGGTAGCAGCTACCTGGAATGTTAAGTTGGGGGTTCTGGGCCATTGGGAATAAGTGCCATGGTTGATATTGCTGTGTCGGCAATTGTGGCTGATTACTGGTCACCTGCCATGGGCAAAGGGTGTTCACCACCCCTGCTGTAGCCTTGACTCGCAGGTCCTTCACCTGGCATGCTTCCTCATGGAGGGCACCACCAGGGAGACGCCTCCTGGATTTTTAGACGTTTTCTTGGTCAACACCAATACAAAGAGTAGAACGTACCTTGCCCTGCATGTAGGTCTCCCTCATTTGGTTATCGTTTCTGGTCTGACAGACTCATTTCTAATTTATTATTTCTTAATTTTTAATTTTTATTTTTTTCTTTGTGAGAGACTCTTTCATTTTCTAAGTAATGACTCAGATACCTCTGTTCTCAGGTGGGACCCCCTCCTGTGCCTAAGGGTGTGACTTGCATTTCAAGCCCATCAGAGTAACCATGCTTGATGCATTCATGTAACAGGAATTACAGGAATTACTTTATATACCAGAACATAAGGGCCTGCAGTGGCGTGCTGGCCCCTCGTTTGTTTACATGTGCCGGGTGTCCCACTCTTTTATGTAGCTTGCCTCATTTAATCCGCACCAGCAACCTTGTAAAAGAGGTACTAGTAACGTTATTTTGTAGATCTAGAAACTGAGACAGAGAGTTTAGATAACTTGCCACTTCCTGGAGGATTCAAACTGAGGTCTGTTTGGATGCCTATACCTATGTTTTTCTCACTCATGCTTGACCACAAGGAACTGTTCGTGTGCCAGGCCAGATGGCCAAATCCACAATCAGTTAAACTGCTGTCAGACAGGAATGTGTTTAGTAATAACCCTATGATGATATCACAGGATTATTTCATCGTGTGTCTTGCTGGGGAAGAAAAGGGGGGTTGAAAATTTCGTGTTTACAACGCTGTTGAAGAAAGACCTGTGCCATCTTGGCATGCCAACTGTACATTGACCCATCTGTGTTTCTCTTCTGTCGGCCTCTGCCACTGCAGACATCCTTGTTTGGAGAGGGGACCTACCTCACCAGTGACTTGAGCCTGGCTCTCATATACAGCCCCCACGGCCACGGGTGGCAGCACAGCCTCCTCGGTCCCATCCTTAGCTGTGTGGCCGTGTGTGAGGTCATTGACCATCCAGACGTCAAGTGCCAAACCAAGAAGAAGGGTGAGTGAGCACTTGCTCCAAACCTGGACTGCAGGCCTCTGCTGGATGTACAGGCACTTGCTGGCCCAGCTGTTGGATAGAGGACCCGTTGCATGCCCAAGGGTTGGGCTGGATCCAGGGCAATGCTGGATAGGGGCCTGCCCAAGGAGTGAGCAGTCTTCTTAGAGATTGAACATACAGGGCCGGGCGCGGTGGCTCAAGCCTGTAATCCCAGCACTTTGGGAGGCCGAGGCGGGTGGATCACGAGGTCAAGAGATCGAGACCATCCTGGTCAACAAGGTGAAACCCCGTCTCTACTAAAAATACAAAAATTAGCTGGGCATGGTGGTGCATGCCTGTAATCCCAGCTATTCAGGAGGCTGAGGCTGGAGAATTGCTTGAACCCAGGAGGCGGAGGTTGCGGTGAGCCGAGATCGCGCCATTGCACTCCAGCCTGGGCAACAACAGCAAAACTCCGTCTCAAAAAAAAAAAGAGATTGAACATACAATGGAGATCCTTTACTACAAGGGGGTAGGCAGGGGTGCCGGATAAGGAGGCCAAGGAGGTGCACAGAGGCAGCTCAGAGGAAGTAGTAATCATGGTGGGTCCAAGCAGCCAGGGAAAGCTTCGGGGGAGAAGGAAAGATTTGATTTTTTTTTAAGTGAGTGATGACGCCAGCACATGGGCTTCTTAAAGGTAGGAATGGAGCCTCATTCATTCTTGGGTACCTGGTATCAGCAGAAAGTCTTGGTATGTACTTGACATTCAATAAGCATTTGCTAAATGAAGCAAAAGATGCTGGGTCCAGACCCTCCAGTCTACACCAGGGTGTGCCAGAGCCCTCCAGGATGTGAAGGGCAGCCAAGGCGCTGGGGAGTCCTGGGTTCTCCCAAGAGTGATGACTAGGTGGTACCTCATCCCATTCCCCTGATGTTTTTCTGAGACTGTTTGCCCTGTCTCCCCTCACCACTGTGTGGCTCTCCTTAAAGGCAGAAGAGTCACAGAACTGTCATTCTAGTCTCCAGAGCTGGCTTGTTGGGGCTGGGTGTGGTGGCTCATGCCTGTAATCCCAGCACTTTGGGAGGCCAAGGCAGGTGGATCACTTGAGGTCAAAAGTTTGAGATCAACCTGGCCAGTGTGGTGAAACCCTGTCTCTACTAAAATACAAAAATTAGCCAGGTGTAGTGGCATGCGCCTGTAATCCCAGCTACTTGGGAGACAGGTATGAGAATTGCTTGAACCCGGGAGGCAGAGGTTGCAGTGAGCCAAGATGGCACCACTGAACTCCAGTCTGGGCAACAGAGCCAGACTCCATCAAAAGAAAAAAAAAAAGATGTGGCTTCTTGGTTCTACTGAGAAAGGAGAATTAAAATGGACTGTTCTGGCCTCTAATGTAAAACAACTGGAATCTTGAGGTGCAGGCCCAGATCTGACACCATCCTCCCAAACCAGACGGCATGGGATATTTGCATTTGTAATTCTTAGGAAGTTTGCAAACTGTGACATTAAACATCAAAACAAAACCTTCCAACCTCTGCTGTCACGGAGCTTCGGTCTTTGTTTTGTTTTGTTTTTGGTAGAGCTTTTTGTGTTATTAAAAGGGTTTTGTGTTTGTTTGTTTTAAAACAAGTATTGGTACGAAGGGTGGAAAATAAATGTTCCAAGAAGCTGAAATCCACCATGGTTCATTTAAAATGCCTGTTAAGGCCAGGCAAAACGGCTCATGCCTGTAATCCCAGCACTTTGGGAGGCTGAGGCAGGCCGATCACCTGAGGTGTCAGGAATTCAAGACCAGCCTAGCCAACATGGCAAAACCCCATCTCTCCTAAAAATACAAAAATTATCTGGGCGTGGTAGCAGGCACCTGTAATCCCAGCTACTTGGGAGGCTGAAGCAGAAAAACTGCTTGAACCTTAGTGAGCCAAGACTGTACCACTGCACTCCAGCCTGGACAACAAAAGCAAGACTCTGTCTCAAAAATATATATGTGTGTGTGTGTGTGTGTGTGTGTATATGTGTGTGTGTGTGTGTATACACACACGCACATAAATAATAAGCATT